GTGCGTGACGACGGTTGGATCATTTGGATTCGTCGATTGAGTTTCATGGAATTTGTTCCTGATTGGATTTCGTTGGATTCGGTGGATTAGGGAAACTGATAGACTGATGGGGTAGATTAGAGATGTTTGACGGCGTTGGAAGAATTAGGTTAGGTTGCTGGGTGTGTGCGGGGTAGACGGATTTAGGTTAAGTAGATTTGGGCGAGGCATAACGGGTTTAAAGTTAGCAGGTCTGGGTCAAGTACATATGAGATTGGACCACTGAACTGGTTGTCGCTAGGGTAGACACGGGACATGCTGTTTGTCCAAGTTTGACGTAACGGATCTAGGTAGATCTAGGTTAGACTAGGTCTCCAGAATGATTGCTCTGTGGCTAGTTAGAGTATCAAGTTTGCCTTACACTAGTCTTAGTTTAGACTACTAAGTTAGCTACAGCGTATCAAGTTTGACTTATTTCTAAAATACATTAGGGTCAACTAAAAATAAACTGAGTGTCAGTCGTGTCATGAGATGTAGGTCAACCTATGTCATCAGTGTTACAGTGTTCGACCAACAAGATTAACTCTAACTCACCAACCGACAACTCAGGTAGTTAGCACTCAACCAAAAGATACTATCAGCAACGAAACTAAACTTATAACCACATTCCTCAGAACCACTAATTAATCCAGCAACCCCAATTAACCAATACTCTCGTCAAACCAGCACCAATAAAACTGGCAAAACTCCAACATCTTAGTACTCCACAATCCACGTCATCCCCAAAAGACCCAAAGACCCAAAGGAAGATCCCAAACTTACAACCACATTTCAGAACCACTAATTAATCCAGCAACCCCAATTAACGAATACTCTCGTTAAACCAGCACCAATAAAACCGCCGAAACTCGAACATCTTAGTACTGCACAATCCACGTCATCCCCAAAAGATCCAAAGACCCAAAGCAAGATCCTCTCCTTCGACAGCATAGCCAGTCTTCCCGCGTCTTCCATTTATAAATCGTCCGGAAACGAGCCGTTCTGTGCAACGAGGCACGCGTTCGTCCATTCATCAAACCGCTGCGCTGCAGCTGCAGAAGAAGAAGAAGACTAGCAAGAGCCAGGGATCCGTGGAGTCCTCCTTTCGTTTCGGTCCGCAAATCATCTTAATGCACGCGAACCAAGGCGAAAGCCTGGCCTGGCTGAGCGCAATAATATTCCCCATCTGCACCTCCTCGCAATAACCCCCGAAGTAATCGGGGAAACAAAAATACGGAGGGGTGCAGGGATTACAGGCAGGCATATCTCAGCGTCGCCAAGAAATCGCCAAGAAGAGATTCCGCGACGGGGCGCGAGAGCTAGCGAGCGAGGCCAGGATTCCGAAACACTCGGATTTATTAAATGCAAAATGCTTCCAACAAACAATGCTTAATCGCGACGTCTCCTCCCACGTAATCCCCGCCGCTACAGGTAGAGTCTTCCTGGATACTATTCCGAGTAGCAGGGGGATGCAATTGACGTCCCCCCTCGGGTTCGTTCCTCGCCGCCCGCCACAGCCACCTTGATAATCCGATCTCTCTAAGGAGATTCTCCATTTTTACAAGGCCCGTCTAGGGGCGTTCGAAATATTCGCGGAATCCCGGGGGTTTAGTAGATAGCACTGGCGAGAACAGTACAACGGGAAACATGGTTGTTTAACCCTTTGGACGTTGGGAATTTCTTCTTCGCTGGATTGTTTGCTTGATTTTTGAAAGGGACGCGGTGATTTTTTGATCGTTGCTGTTTTTTACATGTTGATAGAGGGTTAATTGAATTATTGATTGATTTTGCTTGATTCGGAAGTTGCAGTTTCTATGGGTTATTTTTGTTGAAATTTGTATACCTATGTATATCTAGTTTAGAGTGTGATATTCCAAAGTTTTGTATTGAATAAGAATTCTATAGTTACCAATATTTTCTGAGTATCAACCCTTTAAACTTTTTCACTTGGAAAACTTTACTCCATAATTATAATTTACATGTATATCTTACAAAATTAATTTCGTTCAATGTACTTTCAATTTTCATTGAAATATTTCTCAAATGTCAGCCCCTCTAAATATTTCACTTGAAAAACCCTCCTCCATAATTATTATTAACATGTATGTCTTGCAAAATTAACTTCAATCAATGTACTTTCAAAATTTCATTAAAGCAATGGACCAGGTAAATAAAAATTTGTCAAATATCAACCTTCCAAATATTTCGCTTGAAAAACTCTCCTCCATAATTATTCTTCACATGTATATCTTGCAAAATAAACTTTATCCAATGTACTTTCAAAATTTCATTGAAATAATGGTCCAGGTAAATAAAAATTTGTCAAATATCAACCTTCCAAATATATCACTTGAAAAACCCTCCTCCATAATTATTATTCACATGTATATCTTGCAAAATTAGCTTTATTCAATGTACTTTCAAAATTTCATTGCAATAAAGGTCCAGGGAAATAAATATTTTTCAAGTGACAACAGCTTGAACATTTTTTCAGGTCAAAAAGGGACTCGAAGGGTCGAAAACAAAAGCCAGGGGTGGACGATGGTTCCACGTAGCCCGCGAATTCGTTCCAATTGTTTAAAAGTACGGAAACAGGTCGACAAGGAGCTTCTGAACACGCTTGTTCCAGGATTCAGCGAGCTGTGCTGCGTTTCCGTCGGCCATTACCGTCATTACTTTATAACGTCGTCCTCCCACACCCCATCCCACCGTTCCATACCCTCGGTATGTATTTTCTTGAGAGCATCTCGTGGTCCAAGATCGAGCGAGTTTCTCGGACGCTCGCGGCTTTCGGATTTTTTACGCTTCACGGTGAATAGTTTCTCTTTCGCTTCGCTCTTCTCATTCGCCGCGTGGATAGACTGGTTTTTATGGCTGAAGATGTGTGGATGCGTTGACAGTACAGTGGTATTTGTTTTATAAAAATATTTCTGGCAATAGGACGATAAATAATTGTGCACTGTTGGATGAGTTTGGAGTAAGTAGAATCGGCCCGTGATGGTCAGACGCATAGAACAGTTAAGACAATGATATTTAATTAGCTAAATTTTGTATATGAGAAATATCAATCTATAGAATATAAAATAGACGAATGTTGATAAAAATTGAAGAAAGTTGTTATTTTATTTCTGACAGGAGTTCGGAATAAGTAAAATTGTCCTGTGATGGTCAGACGCACTGAAAAGTTCAGAAAATGATAGCTAAATTTGTATGCATTTGAGAAATATCAATCTATAGAATATAAAATAGAGGAATGTTGATAAAAATTGAAGAACATTGTTATTTTATTTTTTACACAGGTTTGTATGGTAGAAATCCTTCTAAAGCTATCTACAATTTTAGTTCAGTTCCAAAATCATTTAATACCAAAACTGATCTTAATATTATAAATCTATGCTTCTATTTACATTTTTATTGACATACGTTGCTCTTTATTGCACTCTATTTTTTCAGTACTTTATCTATAATTATACACACTTGCATCACAACTCTAAGGCCCATCAAATAATAAATAAATCAATAAACTTCTTCAAATTCCTAACAGAAATAATTATTTCCAAGTCAACCCTTATTTCTTTATATTACTTAGAAAAATTGCTTCTTCAGAGAGATTCAGTACACATTGATAATAACAAATACACCAC